ATAATAATAATAATAGAGAATAGTAATAATAATAATAATAATAATGATGATAACAGGTTTTGTTAAATGGAAGTAAAATATTTTTGATGAGGTATTGAAAAACGTACGAAGCACTTTGTACATTTAGAAATAAGTTAGAAATAAAGAAATAATTATAAAATAAAATGATTTATTTAATTTCATAAAATATGATTTATTTAATTTTGGTTGTACGGCAGCTATTGCAATGCTTATGGTAGCTATTGCAATATTATGAATATATTTTATTGATCAACATTTATATTTCGTGTCTATTAATATAATGTCTTATTATCGCAATGCTACGCAAGAAATATATTTGCTAATGCTAGTTTTATTTGCATATTATTTACATGAGCATTGTTTGCATAAACATTAATATAAAAGAATGCAAATCGCAGCGAATTCGCAGTTTTATAATTAATTTCTCTAAAGTATCGCTTGATAGAAGTGAGAGATACGAGCTTAATAAATGAATATGTATTTAAAAAAAAGTTCATACATTTTTTATTTTACATTTTACATTTTTTATAAATTCTTTAAGTTGAAATTATAGTTATTTATTTTAATTAACTTAAGAATTTTTTATCAACAATTTATTAATTTTGATAATATTTTTTAAAGATTTTTAGACATAATAATACATGATCTATATACTATACAAGATTATATTTCAGCCTTCTTGTTCAAAATTTTTGTAAAATAATCAGTTATTACAAAGATACATTAAATTCATTATAAATTAGCTATTTAAATAAGTAATTATTTAAATAATGAACATAAAATGGAAGAGGAAGAATTGGATTTTCAAACCGCATTTGATATAGATGCAGATGAAATAGAACTCATTGATGACGAAGAAAATTACGCATACAATGTAAAAAATTATATAACGTCGATAATATCTCAATATGATACATAAAGAAAAGCAGTTGACTTATGAAGAAGTAGTAAAACAAGAAGAATTGAAGGAGTGAAACAAAGGTTTCAAAATTTTTATCAAAATTTCATCCGATACTTATGTAAACAATACATGCAAATAAAACTACATCTCCATAGATTTATTTCTTGCGTAGAGTTGCGATAATAAGATATTATGACACAAAATATAAATGTTGATCAATAAAATATATTCATAACAT